GAGAGAGAGAGAGAGAGAGAGAGAGAGAGAGAGAGAGAGAGAGAGAGAGAGAGAGAGAGAGAGAGAGAGTCGAGGGAAAGAAAATCAAAATAGAAAATGACAAGGTTCGAAAAGAAAAAAGTTCGGCGTCGCCGCCGTACACTCACGCCAAAGATAACAATCCGCAACAAAGGCACATTCGCCGTTAATTCCAATATGGCCCCGGGCCAATCAACTCAACTCCGATCATCAATCCTCATACCCGCACCGACGATCCCGGCCGTCGCGTGTTAATTCCCACCACTGCGATCGTCACCCCGCTGTCGTAAACTCGACACGGTTCACCCAGATCCCACAGTCCGTCGTGGTGATCCAGCGCGCAACCGGCCAGTCTATCGTCAGCCCGACAGGACTTTCCGACTCGCTTCAAACACTCTGCCTAGCCACTGCTTCCCGGAAGCTGGCTTGAGAGTCGAGAACGTAAGAGAGATTTGCGGACGCGCTTGCGGGTTTTATAGTTGTGACAGGGGAGATAGAAGGCGGAGAAGGTGACGGGAAGGTTGAGGTGTAAGAGGAGAACCAGGAGGAGAAGACTTTGAGAGGAGTGCTCTACGAACACCACGTTGACCCTCGAAACTCAAGGTTCAACCAATCAGATTCGCCGCGCAATAGGAAGGTCCTATTCATCCGCGCACCTGAATGGCGAGCGGGAATTATCGATGGATCGACCGGGCGTCGTGCGCCAGACTCAGAGGGGGAGAAGAGAAAAGGCGCGAAAAGTAGCACAAGACGTGTCCAAGATTCAGATGATCAAGAAAGGGAAATGGGCGCGCAAAAAGCAAGGCAAGAGAGAAAGAGAGAGAGAGAGAGGAAAAACAATTACGGGGAGAGAGAAAAAGGAGGGAGAAGGGAAGGGAGCCGCGGGAGGGAGCGAGGCGGGGGACAGAGAGGAGAAAGCTTGGCATACGCGGTGCCGTCAACAAAAAGAGAGAAAAAGGCACCAAAACAGTTACAGCTTGCTTCTATCCTAATTCAAAATTGAAATCACCATATCCGTGCGCGAAAAAGCGACGCGGGAAAGGAAAATTCTACGCCTATTCGTATTCACGCAAAATTCCGAGAGTTTTCTCCGACGCGACCAAGAACATTTACACATACGAAAAATGACACGTCGAAGTTCCGCTTATCCCAGAATTCCCAACCGCCGAGCCCAATTCCCCGTGCGCTCGCTAAGGCGCATGTAAATGCTCATGTATTTCCCGACTTGCAAAAAGAAAAACCAGAACCCGGAAATCGAAAAAGCTTCCAGAAAAAAGGAAATGCAGCATCCGAAAACAAGAAACCGAAAAGGGGTTCTTAATGGGTTTGATATGGTACATAAACAGGGGTACGGAAGCTAGCATGGGTTCGGGAAGTGGTTTGTCACACATGTGTGTGTGTGTGT